GGATGTCAACTCATACAATATTTCTATGGTCTTTTTAGAGTTGCCAAAACGAAGGGAGGGAGGAGCAGTGCAAAACCGAAACTGCATTCCATAAATGTTTTCAAAGATAGTAACCAAGTGACTGAATATCTAACATGCAAATATCTAGCTGGAGAGCATAATTGATGACTCTTGACTATAGAGGTATCCATTGGAGAATATGAATTACGATGCACCCAGGGGGTGAGGGGAAAACCAGGGTCAAAAGTGACAATGAATGATGTGTCTCAGAGTCGGCTACACGCAGGCGGTGCTGACATGCTAAGTCCCAATAAATCCTTTTAAGTTTTGGAAGTTTGGCTCAAGACTCATGATTTAAATGGGGGTAACTGCCGGAATCCTGACAGAGGACTTCCTACTCCCAGGAAAACAGATGTCAAATTTTATTTATTTATTTTATTTTTATTTATTTATTTGTCAAAAGCTTACAATACAACAGAAACAAGAATAAACGTAAGTTTAAATACAAGAAATAGGAACAGGGACGGTAGGCACGATTGTGCGCTTATGCACGCCCCTTACAGACCTCTTAGGAATGGGGTGAGGTCAATAAAGGTTAGTTTGAGGGTGAAGGAGTAAATGTTGGGTAAAACTTCCTAAATACATCAGCTCCTCTCTGCCGGATATCTGAAAGAACAATTGGGGAGAAATGATCATGGAGGAAAATCTATCCCCGGGATGTGCAACCCACTAATCGGCCGTGGCCTATTTGCAACCTGGCCACGCGAGCAGCACACCAGCGGACACATGTATGCTCTCACAGCTCTATTTGTCAAGCTGGTGGGCATAAGCATGCACGCTGGCCCACCACACACACAAGTTGAGTTGGGCATGCATGCCGGCCCACCCTCGCGTGGATCCGCTCCCCTCTCTCTCCCCACCCCCCAGCCAGGCCACCAAGTGGGGGAACCACAGATCTACGTCAGTGGTTCGGCAACTTTTAAGATGTGTGGATTTCAACTCCCAGAATTCCCGACTGGGGCATACTGGCTGGGGAATTCTGGGAGTTGAAGTCCACCCATCTTAAAGCATACTGGCTGGGGAATTCTGGGAGTTGAAGTCCACCTAATTCAAAGTTGACAAGATTGAAAATCACTGTTATAAACTGTTGAGATAAACTTTGTGATCAGTGTGTGTGAATCCACCAGAATTACACTGGGAATTATACTTAATGTTCTTTTTAAAAATACTTCTTTTTTGCCACAAAAAAGTGTAGGTTTTTTTTTTTAAAAAATTAGATGGGAATTAGATTACTTAATCTTCTTTTTTTTAATTTTCAAAAATGCTTCTTTTACACACAACCTTGTATAGTTTTTTTTAAAATGTTCATCTGCTAATTTGAATGTACAAGTATACCGGGCCGGTGAAGGAATTCTGGGTGTTGAAACCCACACATCTTAATGTTGCCAAGTTGAGAAACCCTGATTTAGGATGGTGCTTCCGAAGAGCTGAATACAACTCGTTAGCATAAAAATCAAAAAGATATTTGCTGGATGTCTCGAAGCACAAGCTAGGCGCTCACCTCTCTGGGTTGCTTTGAGTTAAATTCCTACACCGAGCAGGGAGGTTCAGCCTGATAGCCCCAAGGAACCCTTCCAAAACTAGGGTTCTGTGCCTGCAGATCTCGAATATCCCCATTTGTGAGCTGAGATATTTGGGGTGACAAGAGGACAGCAGTGGACTTAAACTAACCTTCAGGGCTAGCGTTCCTGGTACGTCTGGTCCATTATTAGTAGAGGGGTTGTGTGTCTGTATTTACTGGGCGATTTGTAAACATTTGAAGCATTCTTCTTGTCCCTATTTTAGGAAAGGAACAAAGTCACTGAAAATAGAGCAAAGTTTTGCTTGCAAAGGCCATGAAAGATCAGCAGTGGAACTAAGCTGTGGGAATGCAGGAAAGGTCAAGGAACTGTTGGTATCGCATTTCAGCTTCTTCCAAAGCTTAATTGCCCTGCAAATTCAAATGTAGACTTACGTCTGCAATATAAGCTTATAATATATTTATGGCTGCTTAGTCAGTTATATCTGAGCGGTATACATGTCTATGGAGGTAAGCAGTTTATTTATTTCACTGAAGGGAACTACACCCTTTTAAATTATTTTTTTAACCAGACGCGCCCAGAAATTATTATTTTTTTCCCACTGCAGAGATTTTGGGAAGTGAAGTCTCTTGAGCTGAGCCTCACTTGTTTTTCTTTTCTTTTTTTTTAAATTACAAAAATTTTATTGAATAAATTGTTAAAAACATTGGCCGTGGTGTGATTGTCCTGGCAATCCTGTTTGTCATACATATTATGGCATAAGGTGTTTTATATGCATTTATGCATTTATACACATTTTCTATTTCTACTCATCCGTTCTGCCCACCCTCCTATCCTTTGGTTCTAGATCCTTCCTTTCCCCCCTCCCCCAATGATAAAATTTATCCCATTCTTCGTAGTATTCTGTTTCGTCTTTGTCTTTTTAGAATAGAATAGAATAGAATAGAATAGAATAGAATAGAATAGAATA